TGATTCGTATTGACGTATGTCGAACACAATTTAAGGACTAAAGCTTTTCGAAAATCTATATGATATAATACAAACGTCTGATACGTTTTATATCTTGTTGGTTTGTTCAACGGGTTTATGCATAATATATAATAATAATATCTTTCCCTATTAAAAACTGCAAAAAATTAAAAATCTTTAAATTTTCCTTAAAATGTCACTATTACTTGTATATTGTCTTGTAAAATATTTTTCAGTCCATCAATTATTTGTTTACTCATCTATGAAAAACTTTGATAACAAATTATCTATATGTTATACAATTTATTTATCAATGGATAAATGTATCCAGTTTCCACTTTGGACATTAAGATCGATTCCTCGTGATTATAGTTAAGGTTTCGATTTCCGCGTCGATCCGCTATAAACTTACAACATAGTATTTCGTATAATGTTCCCATCTGTGGGCAATCTTCCGAAATTGAGTTCCAGATACTGGAATGTAATCCACCAAGTCGATCACTAGATTTCAAGGAACTCTTTGCTCTCGAGATTATCGAAGGACGACTCCGATATCCTCCAAGATATAAAATGTCAAGGGAACTTAAGATAAGCTCACATTCTTCTATCAAACTCATGTTACGTCATACTCTTAAAATATTATATATTTTTAGTAATTCCGAGAAGTGAGGTTTTCTCTATCTAAAATAATTAGTGTTTACTTTTTCACTTTATATTCAAATTTAATACAGAAAATCTTTTAGACTTCCAGTCTCTGAGAATATACAGTAGAGTCTTGATTATCTCAATTAACGTGGAGCAGGGCGACTTCGGATAATGAAAAACTGAAAAGGAAAAATAAAAACAACTAATCAGAATATTCTTCAATGTCGCCAGCGGTAATTAACAACGTCAGTGTTTTCTTGACCATACCTGGCATTTTTAATAATACAGAAAATTTATTGCGAAAAATATTACCTCAACCAGGATTTGAACCATCCCTACTCTAGGCGGGCGTCTCACCAATTCGACCCGAGAGAGGAAAACCTAATCTGCAATGTGCTTTCCGTGTCTAGAAACGCTCTATTTTGTAAAAACAAATCAAAACGCTTAAAAAATTTGTCAACGACAATGTATAATATACAATTTATCAACTTACACTTAAATTTCTTAAATGTATTTATTGGCTGTAAAATAGAATGTGTCTAGACGCAGAGAGCCCATTGCAGATTAGGCTGAACAGTAGGCGTTGATAACAAAATGTCTGAGAAGGGCAACTCTAACTTCCAGCTCTGATTTGAAAATACAGTAAATCCATTTATATTCTCATTAAATTTAATAATTAAGAAATTTTGGAGGATTCAAAATTTCATTTTCGACAGTAAAAAACATGAAATTGAAAAATTGCCTCTGATAAACCGAAACTCGAACGACCGCGACTCAGAGCTAGTCGGGATTCTGCTATATGTATATTATATAAAACACAGATAAAAATGTAAATTAATTAGAGAAAACAGTAACACAACATATACATATAACAGTAAAAAGATATCCATTAAATTGTATGTATATGTATACAATTTATTATAATTAGAGTAAATCATATATTTTCATCAAATGTTACCGCATTGTCATATTCTTTAGTATTAATAATTTTGTAACATTGCACAAAAATGATTGCATTATTTATATTTAATTTTAATTCTGCATACACTTAATCTTTACTAATTAATAGATACAAGAAAGGATTTTATGATTTAACACTATGTTGGAATGTTATCTTATTGTTTATCATTCCCCCCCGTTATCTGCAATCGATTAAACACAGCCACTATAAAAAATGTGCGAAATATATGTGTGTCTATACCTATTCTTATGTCGTACCTCTAAAGAAGTCTTACATCTAAAATTTCGGGGTCGCAGGGCGACTTAAAAAAACGTCATAAATGTGAGGTGAAAGCTGTACGAACTGAATGTTTCCGAAGGAGGAAAAAGAAAGTAAAATTGTGCAGAAAAAATGATGATAAATCGACGAGGGAAGAAACGAGATGGAGAAAACGACACACGTCGTTCTATCTTTAGAGTTTGCATTCACATCACTCGTCGAGACGCCAAAGTGTCTGCCAGGCGGATCTTATCTGAACTTGTTCAAATGCGTTGAAACTTGTTATCGTATCTGTTATAGTGAAAAGATATGCAAAGATACAGTAAAGGAACATAACTCTCTGTATATCGCCATCTGAGATGTATATTGTTATCTTCCAAAAGAAATAGGAAAGCTTTGCTTGTTTTCCTTTTATTTAGTTTGATATATGTATGATATTAATTAAGTGGTAAGAATAAATACACTTAGAAATTACCATCGAATTAGGAAAATCAAGATTACAATTGTAGGAAATAGAAAAATACAAAGTAGAGATACAAAATATGATTTTCACATTGGATCCGCGGATCAACAAATGTGATTCGCGCAGGTAGAATATTATATCTTTCAAGAATCTCTCTCTTTCTCGCAAACATATTTATATGCTTTATGGAGATTTACGCAATTTTGAAAAATAGAAACAAATATTCATTTGAAGTGTACAAACAGCAAGCAATATATAATTAAGTATGAATTTTGGTAAAGACATGTTGCACTTATATGGCGATAGTGATAAATATACGCGACAAATCAAATATCCATTTTTAGATAAAATTGAGAGTCCGATGGCCGACTGATCTCAATTAATTCAATCTTTGATTTACGATTGTCGTATCAGCAGCACGTGGTATGATCCAATTCACATCATAAAATAATTACGAGAGCAAAAAATACATGGGAAATGTCGGGTAATATCCTATCGCGAACTTATGTATCTCATTACTAGATATAACACAATTGCGTGTTGTCATGTTGAAAAATATGTAATTCTAACTTTAAATACTATATCTCTATTATAAAGTGAGACAAGTTTGCTTGGAGATGAGTTTCAGTAAAATAATCCTAGAGAAGTTCTGGAAATAAAAATGGCTGTTTACGAATTGTTTACACATTGCACATTGTGTGATACACGTGAGCAAATGGTATACATATGTTCGAAACAAGGACTAATCCATTCGACACACGATCTTCCTGCACTATGTGATAACCCATTTAGTGAATAATCCGTGTCCGTAACAATATTGAAATATCGTATAGAAGGATTGGTGTGCCGAGTCTCATTAATTAACACGGGATATTGTTATGGATCTTATTTCGTAGAAATTTCTTCATCCACGTTGGGCTATAATACAGGCGTTTTATTCTAATCCTACGTTTTGTAAATATTATCAAGGTTCGTTCAACACGTCTTTCGGATAGTGGATAGTCTTAGCAATAGCATGAAAGACGTCGTTGCTGTTAGAACGAGCAAAATAGAGACATTCCTATTCACTTATTCAATTTGTCATTCACACTTGAAATATTTGAGAGAGAAAGTCAAAGAGAGTAATCCCGATAATTAACAATGAAATTACATATTTGTTATGCTCTTACAACTGTATAACCACTATACAATAAAAAAAACTCCAAAGAATGTCAACAGTTCCGGCATAATAATTTATGACACAAGAATTTCACTTTTTTATTGAGAACGCTAAATCATATTTAGGTCCGAGCAAGCTGGAGGTAACCTAATAATTTTTCAATTTCATAATATGTCAATTCATATACCGTATTTTCCAATCAGTCCTGCGCGCCGTTACTTTTGGACATATAACACAGGTTTCCGATGAGTGGAATCGTTGTCGTCAGCAAATCGTTGGACGATTTTCTAATTATTTAAAAATGCTATAACCCCCCTCCCAGTACTGAAATTAGAAATCTTATTGCGGAAAATATTACCTCAGCCAGGATCCGAACCTGAAATATATTACAATTTTAACATCATTGGCAAGATTTTGAAATTATTCTAAACTCAATTTTTTGCAGTAAATGCATAGTTCATTCTGTTCAAATGATTTGCAATCGTGGCTATATTCGCACATGCACACGCATGTGTGAATATGCAACCTCATAAGTGATTTTACAAATACTATATAGATTAAATCAAGAAAAGGGTATAGCGATAAAGAAAAGGTTTTATTAAAAATTACACTTATGGCTAGATATGTTGAGAGAAATTTTCCAAATAATACGAATTAAGGAATGATTGAAGGATCGATCTTCTGATGATTTGGAACTTGTATTGCTATTACATACGCTCATTCACTCACTCACTTACCTATAACGTAATCACCCACTCTTACTCCCCACCCCCCTCCCTTTTTCTTCTTTCCTTTTCCTCTTTCTCTTCAACGGTGTTTTAAAAGATACATAAAAACATCAAGCAGCAATATGAAACCAAGTTCCAAATCATCAGAAAATCGATCCTTTATGTATCTGAGCTTAAGCTTTAATGAGTATATTTTAGCCTTTTCTTTATCGCATTTTTAATTCAATCTATATAATTAAAAAAATCACTTGTAATATAAAAGTTGCTACATACAATACAACTTGTTGCATATTTGTAACCTGATAAAATCACTTGGTGTCTCACAAACATCTCTCTCTCTCTCTCTCTACCTCGCAAGATTCACAGAAACGACAACTACTTGCCGCGATTATCGCCATTTCGATTCGCGTTCACTCGATGTCGATATTATGACGCCGAGGTGCGATATGCCGTGACAAACTCGTGAAAACCGGCATTGTTTCATCGAGGAACGCCCGTGGTCGTGGATGATACGCCGCCAGAAAGCGTCGTGCTAGTATTTGGCAAAGGAAGAGGACGTAACATCGACGTTGCACCTCCGGTTAGTCTACGACAGGTCCAGATATCCTAAAGGCAGCCTCTATATCTCTATACCTCTATACCTCTTCCTCGGTCTGATCCATCGCCGTCGTCTCTGCAGCGTCCATCCTCTCTTACACTCGCCGCTTGTTCGCTCGCGTTTCCGCACGCGAGCGAGATGAAAGGAGAGAGAAGGGGCAAAGACGCTTTTAGACACGGAGCGTCCACGAGCGTCGCGACGCCTTGAAGAGCAGTAGTCGCGTATCTTAGCTTCCACCTTGCCGGCTCAGACGGGCAACTTGTAACGTTTGCGATTTCGACGTCCGCAAACGAATGTCGAGGGATCATTTAAGAGCATACACGACAGTGAAGGAATTCTCTCGTTTGGAGTGTCCCTTTAACTTGAACCGATTCTCCTAAAAGCGGGATTTATTAATATCGGAGCTTTTAGCTAGCCGTTATTGCCGATTCGACGACTTCTCTGATCGAAGCGAATCGCGCGCTTGGCATTCAAGCTAGTCGTCGCTCGTAGCGGAATACATTTCCTTCGTGATCCTCGGTGATCACAAGTGTTTAAGTAAACTGGCATATCTCTGCCTTGCGCGAAGCGTATTTGTTTCGCTGGATGTGTCTTCCGGTGAACGGTGAGACGACGTGGGTCGTCTCGCGAGTGAATAGAGAAAGCGAGATACGTATACGCCGGCTGGCATGGTAGAGTGTGACTAGGTGGTCTCTCGTCGAGACGAGCCGTCCTTATCGTGCACGAGGCCGCCAAGAGACACAATTCCGCGAAGGTGGTTCGCGTGGCGAGGCGGGACAAGGACGGGACAAGGATGGCGGAGCGTCCCGATGGAGGCAGGAGACGCTCGCGTCGCGACAGTGCGGACACTGCGAGCTCGATACGCGGGACACCACCTACGTCGAAAGATCGCAGGACCAAACGGTCCGGCAAGCCCGTCAAGGAACGATGGCTGCTCACGAGAAAGACGTGGCGATACATGGCCGATGCCGGCCGACGTCTCATCCCCGACGGTACTCACAATCGTCCAGAGGACATACCAAAGATCGAGCAATACTTTCAAGAGGTGTGCCAGAAAGAGCCGCGCTTCCTGCTCTGGAGGAAGGCCTCGTATCCTGGCAGCCTGAGCTTTCGCTCGCAGCGACGCCGCAGACATATCAAAGGCGGCAGCTGTCGGACTCAGGCTGGCTCGGCTGACGAGGCCGATGACGCGAGGAACTCGCCGCAGAGCTTCGTCCTTTGCGCAGCCACGTCTGGCAAGTTTGATCTAGCCAAGGCGAAGAAAGAGTGGCTGCTGACGTCAGGCGGTAGCAACTACGGCGGTGGCGATGACGACAGCATGCCATCGAGTCCGGTAACGCGTCGCAAAACACTCGAGGAGGACGTCGAGGCCAAGGAGCTGGCCGACATGCTGCAAAAGTACCTCAACATGCAGGCTGATCCATCCAGGATGGCCATCGAGTCACGAGGGGCACTAGCCGAGCAGATGGGCGAGAAAGAGCCGTTCGACTATCGTAGCCTGATAGATAAGCTGCAACAGCATCTAAATACGATTGTCGCTCAGGCTAAACGTGACAAGAGTTCTCCTAGTCAGAGCACTTCTCCTAGTCAGAGTGGGCAAAACCTGGTCCCGGCATCCATGTTGCCGTATCAAGGTGATTACGTACATAAATCACTACTGGAGACGCTCAGTCGTTATTACGGCAAATCGTCCTCCCGAGAGCACGTTATATCCGATATCTTGACGGATCGCAAACTCCTCGAGAAACTCTACTTCGATCTGAGATGCACCAGAGGTTTCAGGGGACCCCGAGCGACCGGAGCATACAGTTCGCCGTCCGCTCGTTGGTGGGCTCACGACAGAAGTTATACGGCTAGTAACCGGTCGCTTAACAGAGACCCGCTCTCGCCACCGCCTCTAATCGCTGTCCAAGAACCTAGCACCGAGCGAAGCTTTCTCAATAATGGCGTGCAAACCGAGCCGATTTCTCAACACGTCCTCGACATTTGTCTATCGGAGAGGGAAAGGGAAGAGTTATCGCAAAAGGAGCAAATGTCACACAAGTCCAGCGGACGAAGACGCAGTAGCGTCGACAACGACGACGTCTCACCGTCCGTGGGCGATACCATCAAGAGGTATCTACGGATGGCGCGGAAAAAGTCCATGGACGCGGACAAAATGGACCGTTTTAAGCGGGTCAATTATGATCGCAATTTACGCAACATCAAAGCCAAGGGGGAAATTAGCAAGCCTGGCGACGACGACGGCGATAACAAGGGCTGCCAGACGGAGGATAATTGGGTGGTGCATTATCGCGAGATGTCCGGTCTCGGAGAGGTCCCGTCCGAAAATTTATCGGATGCAGACACGACAACGTCCCCACCAGTCAGTAGGAACGCTAGTTCCAGAAGCAGTATCGACGCCGGCCTCGGTTCCGAAGAGGCCTCTTCCACCCCCGTCAAGCATCCCCATCAGTCCTTTCTCTCCCATCTCTTGCATGGTTCCAACTCGCATAAGGATAAACCGCACTCGGCACCCGGTTCGCCGGCACTCACGTCATCGTCCGCCAATTCCGCAGGTGGCACAGCGATGCAGAAGAGCAAATCCTCGAGTAGCGTGGTGCATCACGGCAGCCGGCTGGTGGCAAAGAAGATTTGGCGGTCCAGGAGCAAGAGCACATCGAGGGCATCGCATCAGCCATCCGTGTGGACTCCTCAGGTGAGTCTTTTAGAACTTGTACATCACAGCAAACAAATTCTTCACGAGTTTATACCAACTTTTTCTTATTTTTATCAAGGACCTTTCAACATTCCTCACATATCAATGTCATTTGCAATAACTCATTACATTTTGCCACTCTTTCATTAATGAAACCTTAATAAAACCTTAACATTCAACAATCAAAATTCAGTATTTTTATTTTTCAACTTTCTCCCGGATAAACATCTATAGTTTCGAATATCTGTTGAGTATAAGTAGCAGTGGAAAAAGTCACTACGCGCGCGTGTGGGTTGTCGAAAACCATTTCAACGAAAATAAATATGTATTTCATTAATAAAATTGTCTTTTCATAATATCGTTAAAAATCTATTTCTCCTTCGTGTAATTCTCATTTTACTGAATAGTGGTATCGTTACGTTTATAATCGTAGAGTTGTGTACAGAATTTTCTTTGCCATTTGTGATAAGATGTGACAGCTGGGAGCAAAAATTAACTGCGTCTTCTGGAAATTATATATAAAATGTATCTCGTAGACTTTCCAATCCACTATAGCGAGCGCATTCTTTGGCGTCTCCGCGAGATTAGCAAAAAGCTTAATAATAAAAAGGAACAGTAGATATCATGAATTTGGCATAGACTCGCATTTTCGTAATGCCATCTTTTGGCGGTGGTATCCATGCTGCTCAAAGCAGGAATATTGGTTGAAAAAGCACGAGTAAGGTCCTAAATGATTAGGGTGTTTGTCGAAATTGGCAATTGGTGGCTGTGTTATTTTTGGAGAAAGTTATTCTTGCAAATTAATTCCGGTACATAAAAAATTATTTACAGTTATTACAAATACTCTCTCTCTCTCTCTCTCTCTCTAGTTGTTCTTAATACAAGTATTATAATTTTCGTAAAAGTGTCGTAAAAATATGAAGAAACAACTCGTTTAAAATAACATAGCATTATTCACATATGAGTCTCTAATATGAAAGAAAGGAAATTCTTAATGCATATACATCCTTTCCGGTGTTGCCTTTAGCGGGCCTCTAAAATGTGTGCTCTTTCTCACTTATAATTTAAACATTCGTACATTATAAATTGTTGCAGAATTTTTTTCATAGCTTTGGGAAAATATAACTGTATATTTTAGCAATCATAATATTTTGTAACAATAAATGTTTTTTGACATAAATTGAAGTGCAATTTTTTTCACAGTTATATTTAACTTAATTTTGTTCAAAAATATGTATAATTGAGATTATATTAAAAAAATGTTTTTCCAAAGTTTACAAAAAATGTTCTATGGCGAGAGCTGCGTATCGATTGCATTGACGTTTCTTTTTTATTCTCTTTTAATACCTCCTTATCCTTTAAAGTGTTTAAATGGGCAAGGGATGTGAAAGGAGAAAATGTCAAAGAAGAAAAAGAGAATCGACCTTGTGGCAGACATTCTCGTTAAGCGGTAAGCGCGATAACCAATTTAGGGCCTCGGAATTTCGCTGGCGCCGCCAGAAATAGTCAGCCAACGCGCGCGCGCGTGGCAATGTGTATAAACTATACTTAAATCCTGCTGCTACTACTTACTCGGATATATCCACACACTAAAATCAAAGTCTACTACTACTGGCGCGTCCATGCTATTCTCATGTGGCGTTTCTCCGTTATTCCAACGAATAATACGTCTCGAAATCGCAAAGAGAAAAGAAAAGTCATATCTCGCAACATAGAAAATTGAATTTACTTATTGTTAAGCCACCAAAATACACGCGCCATAACTATCCAGAATCGAAATTAATTTTCACTAAAGGGGAAATATTATGGAATGTTTAATATAATTAAGTATTTTTCCATAGAATCACATTTATGGACATGTAAAAATATATACCTGTATATATATTATACAAAACATTTGAAAATATTTAGTTACTAATAATAGGTAATTTTCTCTACTTATTAAAAATTTAATTAAGTATTATATTTTGTTCAATTTGTAAGCAACTTTAAAGAGTTACAAATTTTAGTAGTAACTGCCTGTGCCCTAATAAAGTTTTTATTAAAGTAGAATCCAATGCAAATTGGATAAAAAATATAATATTATTACTTGCATGATTTATTTTCTCTTGCGCTTCGGAGATATCTTTCCCCATTTAATCCCTATATGTCTTATGCAAAGTCTTTCGTACGTGTCAACGAACCTTCGGAATATGTCAGAGGCGATAATTTTCTTCGGATAATTAACAAGCGCGTAATGAACTTTTCTCTTTTTCTAATCTTCTCCTTCTCGTATTAGTCTGTCAATTTCCGTCTATTCTTGTGCCATGTGCGCAAAGGCTATCGAAACATTAATTAAAAATCAGCCAATTATCTACTATGAATATATTATGTGAGATCGAGTTTTATATGTATAAAGCTTTAAACAACATTATTAGACATCCTCATAATTATTATATTGTACCGAGTCAAATATCCGCAAAAATTTTTATTGTTTAAAGTTATTTACTACATAAAAGAGAGAGCAATTAACGCTCTAGCAAATAACTTTTAAAAACAATAGGAATCGTCCAGGTAGATTCAGTATAGTATAATAATGATGAAGATGCCTAATAATTTTGTCTAAGGCTGTATAATATTATAAAGGATACATTTTCATTTCTAACCAATCTATCCATTGTACCATAGAAACTTGTAGGTACCGTCACGGTCCCACCTCTTGAGCAACTAAAGGTTTCCGTTGTATATACTCGTATTTTTTTTCGTATACATATAAAAATCAGATAAATCCAATTTTATTTGTGTAATCTTTAATTTTTAATACTAAAAAAATTAAAACTATTCATGATTAAATTACTAATAAATCTTTGAAGTAAAAAATTGGAAAGGAGCAATATTGCTGATCATTCAAATGGTGTGTGGTAATAGTTTCTGATCATAGACAATATGTACGAAACGAACGAGAACACTAAAATAGATGTTGCTTTTTATATCTTTAAATAATGAAGAAATACGGAAGAGCTCAACTTTCTGATTTATTTTGATGAAGACTTAAACATTTCACTTATCAGGAACTGAGTCCTCGATGGTATACTGTTAAACAGAGAAAGTGAAGCCCATGTGTTTGAATATACATATAATAAAATAATGGTATGCGCGTTATCTATACCCACACATATCAACATGTTCTTGGTAACGTTAATCGTGATAAAGCACGTCTTGGCTGTTTCCATTTTACGTACGACTGTGATAACGTCAGCAAAATAAATGGCAACTTAACAGGTGGAAAATGTTTGAAATTTGATGCCGATGAAACATGTAAGCGTATCGCTGATTTTCATTGCCGCAGTTTAATTTCATCGCACCGTGGCACCATATCTTGCAATGTCATTACGTTCTATACTCTCGTCTCGCAATTTCATTTGTTACATTGCAACGAGATAACATAATGTGTGATGGTATATATTATTTTATACGATAAAGTACTAACATATAACTACTAACATACACATATATACACTTTATTTCATTTTCTGTACATTTTCCCGTACTCGCGTTCTTTTTGCTGATATAATAAATTCAGCATTATTTATCAAGGATTACTTCCTTGTTATTTTATTGGATTTTGCTTTACTATGTATTTTTTAAGAGAAAATTAATTGCAAAATTATAACGGATAAAGATAGAGTTTTCTCTACTCACAATAGAATAGTTAAATAGAAATGTAATTGTTTTAAACTTATGCTTGTCTGTAGAAATAGATTCGAAATATTAAATTTTATATAAAAATTGATGGACTTTTCGTGAAAGTAAATTTTAACTATAAAATTAACTATAGAATCTTTTTCCATTCTTTTATGCAAGTTGTTTTTAATTTGCTACATATTTATTTTCTCTTTTCATATCTGGTAGTAAGTATACTGTAAATATATGAATGCGTGCAATATGATACATGTTGCTTTAAAAAAACTCCCGAGTGGAAGCAAAGAATGTTAAATGCTATTTTCTTCTCAATTAAGTAACATAATTTCAGTTCGCCTTGGTAACTCACGATTGATGAGTTTACAAATGGCGAAGTAATTAATAAACTAATAAAAGTTGTTTCTCTGCAATTTCTTGTCGACCCCTACACACGCATGCGTGCGCGTGCACACACATGTTATACATATACTAGTCCAGTAGATCCCGGATTATCCAATCAAATGTGGACCGACAGGTCGAATAATCGAAAAAGTCGGGTGACCGGGATTATACTTCATTTTAGAAAAAATATTTTTTTAACAGAAATTTTAATTGTATCTTTAAACTCTACACATAAGCAACTTCTTAAAATCTTCATCGAATAAAACGTAACAATATGCTTTGGTACAATATAGGAATTCAAGAAATTAAGTTTCCCCAAGAAAAAGAAAAATCTATTGAATGTAAACTAATGCACTCCTAATCGTAACTCGAAAATTAAATTCCGGTTAAATAAAATATGACGTACGAAAGTCCTATGCGAATTGGTTAGAAGACTGACTGAGAAGAGATAGCGCTTGATAATGAGGTCGGATAATTTCGTCTCTTGTAAGATTAATTCAATCGTATCCATGAAAGGAAGGAAAATGTACGCGTTATCATCCGTCATGTTGCATCTCCTCGTTATGTTTCTTGCGTTTTCTGAAATGCACGGAGGATTACGGCTCCGGACATATCGTGAAAATTTTGAACAAAATATTTCTACGGACGTAACACTGTTAACTATTAATAAACCAGAATATAACGTGAATAAAATTTTCACGTTATGGAACCGTTGTCAAATCGACTAATCGCTGAAAATAAATTGCGAAACTTATGAGCAACGATCCACCTCGATGACAAATGCATAAATTTTAATTCCACGATTTTACATGATAAGATTACTTTGAATAATCGTTGCATGATAACGAGGAGCGCCGGGATTAAATTTTGTTCAGAAATTCTGCCGCACGACCAGATATTCTGCAAGTAATTCGATTTATACACTATACTCGTACGTGCTGTCTCTCGTCGCGATGACAAGCTAGAAACTCATTCAAGATCTGTCAAGTACAATTCACAATAGCCAGCCTTAAGTTGCCTAGAGAATGCACCATTTCTTTTCTGTCGCAGGGAAAATGTACATGGGCAGGCACAGGGAATCGGCGTGTTACTCTACAGGATACATCGTTGCGAGCGCTATCCGATATTGAGAAGAAAGTCCTCTGCAAAGTAGCCGTAGCGAAACTTCAAGCTCTCAATCTGGGTGTACATATTAGACCACCAAGTGGTAAGTCGATCTATAAAATCGAAAAGACTTGATAGGAATTACAGTGTGCTACATACACAATTTTTTGACACAACAACAACAACAACAATTGTATTCTATCTTTTAACTACATCTATTGTATTATCGAACAATATACACAATAAATCTTGTTGAACGCTTTATAAGAGCGTTCCATTTCTTGAAATTGAAAGAAATTCCTTCAACACCTGCAATTCTATTAAGGCTATCTGCGTGCCGCGTTGCGTTAGTCCGTACAATATAGTTAATATAGTTGTTTTGGAATGAAGGCGAAATTTAAGAAAAGAGGAAACTACGTCCAACGAGATTCCTGGCATATTTAAGTACGCGGCGCCCACCGGCTTTTATTTAACAAACAGCGACGAGAGTCGTGAATTTCTCGGATGCTTTTGTATGTATCCTATAGAATCGAGTCCTTATGCTTTCTTGTAAACGCTCCCGTAAGTGTTGTAAGTATGTCCGTGATGTGAAGCTCCTTTTACTTCCTTTCAGCGTTACATCCATTTTTTCAGCTGTTATATTTTCTTATATTCTTATGCTCCAGGCAAGTTTTCTTGCTACAATTTGAAAAATTATTATGTATCTAACAATAAGTAAATCTATTTATTAATCTTAATTTAAAGGTAGATGAAAGAAAAATTAAAAAATTACATAAAAGGTAAACATTTTTTAATTTATCTTTCTAATTAGATCATTCAGAATCAATTGATTTTATGTTACATTTAAATACGTGGTTCAACGTTACATGTACATGACAATTTTGATTTTTTCAAAAAACTTGATTCTCAACCGATCGACCACTTTCTTACAAGGAGTAATAATAAGAGTGGAAATATATCTCTGTATGTGTATCTAAGACATTGCTTCGAAATCAATCGCAAAAGACGTGGCTTCATTCGACTGTCTCGTTTGAACTCCGGATGATTGACGTGTTTATGACCGTGAGTGTTCGCCCACAGTGAAATAATCATTTCAATTTCTTCTCTTAAATGTCTCCTCTTTCGTAAACCTTGTTTGTAATACACGCAAACGAGAACACCTGAATGCAATTAAAGTTTTGTCATTGTATTACAAAATAGAATGATTATATAATATGATAAAACTAAAGATTGTAAACTATATGGTACGATAAAAATTGAGATTGTAAACATCTTTTACTGCAATAAATTGCCTTTGATCGAACCCACTAAAACGTTGACTTTATTCTTTAGTTTTATCACACATATCAAGAGCCTCTGTAATAATCTCTCGAAAAGAATTAATACGTTAATTATTAATAGTTTAAACTTATCATTTGCTGTAATGTAATAACTAAAGTTAACTTTTCTATTCTATTCTTTGAGAAAAACTAACTTTTTTCTGTTATCTGCTGATATAGCAACATATTGTTTTAAGCTGTTTTTTTTTCATTTTTATGCAGCAATTTATTCTCCTTATCTTTTCAATCTTTCGGACTTGAGAATGGTACTAGACAATCTTGCCATTTTTTTAAACATCTGTCTTACCGTGTTATACGAGTTTGTGTTATACGAACCCGTGTTACGTAAAAGTTTACTGTACACATTTTGTAAATACACACACACACACACACACACACACACACACACACACACACACACACACACCTATGCTGGGTATATATTATGCCGTTAAAAAAGCGTATCGGTTAAAACCAATTTTCGTCAAGTTGAATTCCTTTATTTACGCGGATATTATATTAATCGTTATGTTAAATGATATAAGAACAGAGAAATAATTACATTATTGAAATGTGTTATAGTAAAATCCCTTTTTCTTCTTTCTTGATCTCGAGATGTATTTTAATTTTAAATCATCTGAAACTTTTTTAGCAAGAATTTCTTTTAAAATAGCTACCTTTTATGAATTATTCCGCCAAGACAAAAGTAGACGATGCTCTGATTTTACAAATAGATTGCATAAGATGTGATTGATATTAAAATGTAAACAAAGTGTATCACGGAATAGGAAATTTATCAAGTGGTTCTCTCCGTTTCCTTTCAGAATCACTCGGCACCGGGTCAGTGACCACGAAGCCAAAGAGACGAGCGTATTTGCTTAAGAGGAAGGCTCTCACAACAGGCTTCTTCGACAACAAAGGGAAAGATGAGAAGGAAAAAGGTAAGTACAAAGCGTCAATTCCTATTATTCGTGCCGCTGGTTACAGCATTATATTTTTATCACATTGGGAACCGATCAAAGATCGAGGATAAATGGAGACGTTATTCATATCGCCAGCCGTATATTTATCTCTCTTTCAATTAAAGGTCTTTTCGCGAACGAACGAAGATATCATTCGACATCTGTGCAACTTATTTATAAGATAATATCATAGAGACAAAGAATCGCGGTCATTAGGTCACGTTGGGACAAAGACGTGGGTTCAATGAAATGTTGTGCCCGGTCAACGAGCTCATCCAATAGTCTCAATGAGAATCTTAATATTTATGACGTCCAAAGAAAATTTACAAGTAGAGCATCTAAAATTAGAATAACTTTTCCACGTGAGTTTAGTTGGCACTAAATTTAATCAATCGATAATCCCTAAGGATTAGTCATTTCAATTCAACAAATCGGTCGCAACTTGCTCAATTTTTTTGTCAGTTGAAACAAGTTACAAATCATTTTTAATATCAAATAAATTTAAATAACATCGAAGGTATAAAATTGCCAAAATTATCATTACTTATAATACGAGGCAAAATATTTGTAGAATACTAACAATAAGTGCGGGTTGGCTTAAAAGTGATAATTCGTGCAGGGATTCGTGATATCATGATAAAAGTTCCTTAACAGGCGCTCAGATAGACAAAGAAAAGTAACAATAGAAACAACTCTCACGCGTCTCTCTTAATAATTTTTGTCTTCTTTTGTCTTGCCACGCAAACTGTCAGAGTTTATTTTTGCACGTGTAATAAAAACAACACTTCCCTTTTGTTTCTTCCACATAAAATGTACAATAATATCAACCCGCGTTCAAGTCTCAAAGCCCCTTTTTACTTGTCACACTTGTTAATTTTATTAATGAAATGCCCTTGTTATTTACCCAATTATTAAAAATGTATAAATGTCATATTTTTATAAAATCACATTTCTTCTCTGCAAAGATATTATTTATATGGTTCCTAATTTTCAATATAGGAATATAAAATCAACTGAAACGCGTGTATTATTCTAGTTATACAGCAAGAATTTTATAATTTATCGAAAATGTTACGAGAAGGTAACGAATGAGGGGAATTTCTTCGAACGAATCAATAATTAAGACGTGCAGAGTTTAATACATAGAAAATCGCGTATTTCACGGGCATAATTTATGGCGTAATTATTTATTTGGAGAATAACTAGTTGAGTTATTTTCAGACAGACGCAATAGAGCGCCGAAGTTTGAAGGAATGCTCACTCTATCACTTTACGACATTCCTATGCGCGTATATGTATATACTATATATATTTTTATCTATACGACACACAAAGACAAATATTACTCTTGGGACAAATATCTTATCTATTTTAGTCGATTGTTTGTAGCCCCACTATTTTGAATTCCATGCTTGGTTATTATGAAAAGTAAGGCAAGTAAACTTGCCACAGCACATTTCTTGCCATTTTTATCGAATAAAAACTTTTTCTAGTAATTAATGTTTAAATAATAAACAATAATTACTAGAAAATAAAAACAAGTAGTATCGTGAAAATATGAAAGAAATCTTTGCGGGAAGAAATACAGCATTATACCAGCAGCTTTTGTCCAATATTGTCATATCAACAGAATAGTTAGGCGAGGGAATTTCCTGCAATTTTCTGCAATTGAAAACTTTACTTGAAGAACGCATGTTCCGTTGACATGTTCCGTCTCATTGCTTCGAGCTAATTATGCACTCTGTGAATGTGCGATTACGTTTTCGACACTATTTGTGTTGCACTTTCGCACTGCTCGTGACATTTCGAATAAAGATCCACCACGGCCAAATATAATTTTAAACTTATGTCTTTGATACACATACTTATATTATAAATGTGTAGTACTTGAGGGATTTCTGTATGCAATAATTGTCGGTGACGTGAAAAACCTTGAAAAATAAAAACTGTGTTAAATTAATAAATTATATTTTTGTATAATTACACATATGCATCAATATTTTCGTTTGCTTAATCGCATAAAATCCAAGTGTGGGAATGAGTAATGTATTATTAGTTTTGTCGTTACGGGTACTACAGTATATACAACAAGTTACGTTACTCGGAGATCGTTGACATTTTCCATACGATTCTGTGTTAACTCAATGTCGAATTAACTTGCAAAATGTATTGTTATTACTCCCCATCCATTAATCGGAGAGAAAAACACATTTACTATATAGAAGAAGCAAAGGACGGGCGTATTAGCTCCGGTCGGCCAGGCTGGTATGAGACACAATTTCGTCGGCTAAAATTAGTCACAGAGTGCTCGGTAGCGGTACATATTTCCGCATATATCAGGTTTATTTGTGGTTCGCGCGCGTTGAGTACAAGTGCCCATGCGTAGGGACACTAGATATCAATCGGGCGACTTTCTTCGGTGATAAAGCGCCTACTCCCTTTAACGTACCGTATAGTGTCCTCCTCGAGCAACTGTGTATGTACATCTATGTTGAGCTAAAACTTTATCTCTTACAATAAGAAATAGATATTTATTTAAACAAAAGAGGAACAAGAATAATAACAAATGCCTTATATGTGAGATAAAAGATAGAGTAAGATCAAATTCTCTCTCTCTCTTTCTGTATGTCCGTCCCTCATATCTTACTAAATTAACAATGGTATTTAAACTATTATAATGTTTTTAGCGCCCAATATTAATTCCATTTTATATTACGTCTTGAATAATTATATACAAAACATTTGGTAATGCTAATGTGATATATTAAAAATTAAAACTTTCAAAGTGATCTTAATAAAAATGAACAAACAAGATTACTTGACTCGTCACGTACTAGTTTACAGAAGAGGCATAAAGAATGATGATCGTATTGTCAAAAAAATCCTTCTTAAACGTAAAACTACACGAGGGGATATAAATCTAAAAATTTAATTTTTGAAGTACGTTAGTGATCCAAATACACACAGATAAACCAAGTTGCATCTACGTATAAATATACCAATGAGGAAATGTCAATTACTTAAACGTGTGTGTGTGCAACAAGATACACCGAGGATATTTATACATGCAATGCCCATATGCTCGCACTCCGCGCGTCTAAATACGTATCCAACATCGCCGGACCCATCGTACGGGGGTGGCAAAGTGTTGACGATCGATGCCGATCGTTTCAACGCTTCCGAGAAGAGGCTCGTTCTCTTCGCACATTGTTGTGCGTAAAGTGCCTCATGTTCCATGCTCGTATTCGAGATGCACGTTTTCAAGTGAGAAAAGCAGGAATGGCCCAGATCGAGATCTATAATCGGATCAGTATAGGGACTAGTGTACGAATCGTTACCTTTTCATTTTCAGCTGACTCCTCGAGAGGTAGTTGACCATGAAACTTGAATATTCTCTCTCTCTCTCCCCCCTCTGTCTCGATTGTAACTATAATAATCTCGATTGTAACCATAATAATTACTAGTTTGACATTTGTTTTTCAATTATTGGAAATTGTGTTATTCATAAACAAATGTTAAAGAAAGCAGATTATTAATCTTTTACACACGTTCAAAGCGTACACGTATATTATCGTATCATGTATTTTACAATTATAATAGAAAAAGTCGGCCAGAGGAAAACAAAGTTTTCACAAAGTTATTACGAATAGAATTTAATCCCAAAGATAAAATAAAGCCCAATATTTGTATCTAGATTAGCAGAAAAATTATTTTCAAAGTCTCAAATCCATTAAATAATGCATTATTATTGGGAATGACTTGACGTATAAAACAAGTTGACAGCAAATTGATGATTTCGTTAACAAAGAGTCTTTTACGTAGATGCGAATTGCAAGAATAGTTGGTGAAATTCCCTTCTCTTCTGACATAATCGAAAATAGGCCAACGTAGATGATCTCGTGATTCTCGACGGGGGGACTCGTTGCGAATGTGCTTCATATTACTTGGCTTTTATACCGCGATCGATGAGCGAAGCAGACGTGGGTAGATCGCAACTTCTTGTAGAATACATTTTTGGCGGCGATCTGAAAAGATGCGCGCAATACCTGTAGGTAGGTGAAACGTTGATGTTAATTACTGTCACGTTATACACGTCATTTCTATGTAGAGTCTGCTTCCTCGAATGTCAGGAATCGAGTCGTTAAAATATCTCAAGCTGTATTAAATTAACGGTATTAATGTAGAAAGTCTGAATAATAATAGCAACGGACAGACTCGAATAGAATAACAGTACATGTTTAAAAGCAATCGGAAATCATTAATAAAACAATAAATATATAACCTTTAATTAAACAGAAATTTCTCTTAGAAATTAATATTAATTAATTATTCTTTTTCTAATGTAATAAAATGTTACCTTTGCAGGGAGAAATCTATTTGATTTGGCATTTCTCATTGTAACTAATCAGCTGTTTTCATTTTCTCGCTCTTTCATCGAATAATTCGCATTTTGAGAATACGTATATACTCAATTGATCAAACATATCGTAATACAACAAACTATTACAATAAATTTACAAATGTCATTCTGGTTAATGAGCGATACAACATCTGTTAGTATCGTATCGAAGTTTGTTTATACGTATAAAATACGCACGTTAGTATGAGCTGACGACTCGTAGATCAAAGATGAATGTTGCTCTCGCTTAGCTAGCCAAGCAATCAACGAAAGAATTACCTGGATAGAGACTTACCGATGTAATCGTATAGAATAAATAACTGATATGTTAACAATAATTATCACAACACATGAGATATGTAAATTTCAATTATATTTTATCGCTGTCGATTTTAACATCTGAGAAAAGAGGATTACCACTATTTTCATATCCAAACTAATGCATACTAAAGTCATATTCTGAAACAGAGTGATATTATAACAGCATTCTTTAAAGAAGAAAAAGGCAAAATTTATGTGTTATAGATTAAAGTAGAAATTGTAAAGAAAATAAGAAATTGCTAAAATTTTTCTCTACTTTGTTGCTTGCAGACGTCGCAGGTGGTCTAGTATTTGGTATACCACTATCGCAGTGCATAGAGAACGATAGGATTACTAGAATCGCCGCTGGAGAGGTGACCGATGTCGGTTGCTTGAGCAGGAGTAGTCGGCACGGTAGTAGGGCCAGTTTCTCTAGCCTCATAGAAACACCAACGACTGTGACAGCGAAAACGGAAGAGGTAAGAAATGATGAGAAAACGCTTTCTTTCCAGTTTTCATATGTATCTTGTGCGGTTTACATTTGTGAAATTTTGTATTTCTGTAGAAAGCTATGACGTAAATGTTAGTCGATTGTTGGTGATGTAACTTTGATTCTACATACTTATACATAATATCTATCACCAAGTGTATCTATATCTAAATTTTTTTTTTTCTGAAAATGGAATATTTTTTACTTGTTTTATTACAGAGAACTGTAGTAATAATAAATCGAAATGTTTGAAAAGAATATGAATGTTTGCAACTATACGTCGCGAATGTATATCTACTGCCATCGTTGTTAAAGTCGTTGACCTGTATTACTTACGAAAGTTTCTTTCGAGTGGTACAGCTTGGCAGCTGATCGACCGCCCATTAAAGATGCACCGCGAACAACGGACAAATATAGAAACGCAATATAGTATCACGTATGCAAAGCACACAATTTGCGCAATTCTTAGCTCTTAATAAACATGATAGCAGACGACACACAAGAAATGCGTCTACAACGTCTCGTTAGAAAAATAAAAACGACTTTATATACGAAGCGAGCAAGTATTAAAACTAGAAAATGAAAAGTCAATAACGCACAAAATTGCCAGTACCTCGATGCGCAACGTATTTTTTGACGACATTGCTAATGACGTCATGCTCGTTACGTCATCGTCGCTGTCGAGGTAAGCGGTTTATCGATGACTAGTTGTGACGCGGGCCAAATGTCAAGTTCACAAGTGGTTATTTTTCGATAGATACATCTAATTGACAACTACAAATACACATACGTTTCGTCTTGTTCCACAGGCGCGTCATAGATTTATAGTGGACTTGTTATGTTCAACGTGACAATAATTACTTTTCATCAAACATATTTAGATGTAATAATGTACTATTTTCCTATTTTGCATTTACGAGTAACTTGAAGATTAAATGAAACTTACGGTATATGAATTTACATATTATATTAAAAAATTATTAGGTTACCTCCAGCTTGCCCGGACCTAAGTATGATATAGCGTTCTCGTTTATATTTCAAGTTATATCTTAAAAAGGTCCAGATTTACCAATTGTTAGTCTCAACTTTGTGTGTGTGTGTGTGTGTAACAATTTTTGCTTAAAAGACCATTTATTCTAGACACACTAAAAAATATACATCTTTTGCCTTCATTTTTATGAAAATGTTTGATATAAAAGTTGTATTTTATTTAAATTTTTCATTCTTTCTTTCTTCGGGCGTGATAAATCTTTGCTTTTTCAGCCGGAAATTTAATATTTCGGTATCAGAATAGTTGACACCTAAATAAAAAACAATTTTTTTGACACTTTGCTCAAAGACAAACACTCATTGTTATTTTAAGAAAACCGTCGGTTGCTTACGCACCTCGATTTATACGGTCCGTCACTTTCCTCAACATTTTACATGATCGAGTATCAACGACTGGCTGCGATACATAGTCAAGTAATTCGATCGTAACCTACGGTAACGCGCCACGTTATAATCGAATAAAAAAAGTTTCGTGATATTTTCCAGAAAAATTTTTCTTTTAACGATATTTATGATCCAATGTGAGATATCTCAATTTATATGTATGTATAGCACAGCAATATAGGTATAAATTAATCAGGAAGAAAGTATGAAGCGCTCAAGTTACTACAAGAATAAATTTCCTTTAGGACACGAAACTGTAAGAAAATAAGAACAAAGTAATAATTCTTTTAGAAACGCAAAAAGAGACAGAGAAAGAGAGAGAATGTGAAATAAAATATTATTTTGTATCGAATGGGTCAAGGTAATTGATCATGGTAATAAAACAGTGTAACGTAACTAGAAATTGATGTCGCTTGCACTTGAAATTTTTACAACCAAGAGCTAAATCAGCTGTTTACGGGACCCGAAATATCTATGCTTCATCGGCTGAAATTTTACCGTCTTTGCACACGTGTGTTACGGTTTACTTCCGGCTAGTCGATAAAAAGATATTAAACGATTAATGTACAGAAAGAAATCAAAATCAGTTTCATGGTGTGTGAGAATTTTATGTATAAGGTATTGTACAAAACGGCATAATGCTGTCGGATCATTATATAATAGATGATGCGCATTCAAAACTAATGTTTCACATTTGATATGTAATAGTAATGAAAAAAAGATGTTTTATATTTAAAAAGTCAACAATATATTTACGGATTTCTATTTTCTTTCTTATACGTGACGTTTTCTTTTTAATCGAACTAGGGAGGTTCCTGCGAGTCCCTGTCATCAAAAGGAGGTGCTCTTACAGGAAGCGATTCTGGAGTGCTCGAGTTGAGTGACAGTGGTGGGGGATGCCTTGTCAGTGAATGGGACATGGTACCAGGTATCGTGAGACAATGCATTAGACACCTCGAGGCCACTGGTCTCCGGACGCTAGGTGTGTTTCGCGTGTCACCCTCGAAAAAAAGGGTGAGACAGGTACGATATTTTCCTTTAATAAAGACAAGAACATTTAGGTATTTACCTCGATACTCAATTCGAGAAATACATATACATATTCAGGATAACTGTATGACATGCTTCTTTAACACAAAAATATTTCAAAACAATTAAGTTTATTTATACAATACAATACATATGTAATTATTATTTTCTTAATTAGCCCGTATTCTCTTTAAAGTACAATAATTTTATCTGTTATGTTTTTATTTCTTTTTAATGAGAAAAGAGTATACATATAAATGTACATCTATCATTAACAAGAATTAAATATGTTCGATAACTCAATCACTATTTTTGGGTTAATGTGAGCTTAAATTGGAAATTGGCAATTCTTACAGATACATATTTTAAGAAATAATCGACACGATATCGGGCTTTCTCTTAATATCTTCTTAATGCCTCGTCACCAATAAAAATTAAATACTTATCAAATGGAGAATCGATTAATTCGTCGATATAAATTAATAGCATTATGCGGTACGATATAATTAATATATTGTATCTATTTTTGTTTAAAGTGACTCTGTAATATTACATTTCAAGTTATATCAGCAAATTTCTTCTGAAAGATATATAGTATCTTTTATGCTAATTTTAAACGTGACATTTCCATAATTATTCCAGTTAAGAGAAGATTTTGATTGCGGTCGGGAGACAAAAATAGGTTCCGATCAATGTCCCCATGATGTGGCTACCCTCTTGAAGGAATATTTCCGTGATCTGCCGGATCCCTTGCTTTGTAGAGAGTTATATCAGGCCTTTGTGCACACTCAAAGTAAGAAAAATCAGGTTTTAATTTAACTTAAATCGCCCTTCTTTTTCCTTGCTCGCTAGGACGTCGATTGTTGTAATCTTTTGATTTTGCGATTCCAATTTGAATTTCCAATCATCCAACGTTGGTTCAGCGAAGACGTGATAAGCGAACTAGGTATTTAAATATTTTCCAGAAATCAGAAACAGGCGACTACAGCAAGAAGCTCTGCAGCACCTCATTCAACTTCTACCCACGCCAAATCGCGAAACTCTCTGGGCACTTTTAAACTTTTTGAGTGTCGTTGCGGCAAATAGTGAGGACGAAAAAAGCGAGACAGGAGAATGGATCTCAGGGAATAAAATGGACACGACAAATCTCGCGACTGTCAGTACCGCGTGGCACTTGTCAATTTTCATTTCATCCTACTCTTTAGACTACGCTTTGCGCTTTGATGACCTCTTTCTCTCCCCCCTCCCTCCCTCAACTAAAGTACGTAATAAAAATTCTTGACTAGTCGAGATATTCAACAAAGGAATTCCAACGGAGACAACAAGTTCTCATATTTCAAATTCTCTTTCCTTAAATAATTTTTTCAGAGCAAAGTAATCGAGTTTGCTTTGACCAAGAAAACTCGTAACGAGAATAAACGTACATTTTATTTTTACCAACATTCGTGCCGAGATAAGTGATGAATTAATTTGATAGCGCTGATATACGCTCTCGGCTACCGTCAATCATTGCGATCGTTACTTGGTTGATGTGCAAATCAAAAACGTCCGATCGCGCGTTTCAGGTGTTTGCTCCAAATATCTTGCATTGCGTCAAGCCAGGTCAAATGAGATCGGAGGTCTCAGCGCAAAGGGCCGAGGAAAGAATAGATGTGATAAATGTGATGCGAGCACTTCTGGAGCATACAGCGACATTGTTCACGGTACCAGCGGCGTTATTGGATGAAGTATACCAGCACATGATGGATACTCATCCACCAGAGTTGGATATCGCCCTGTCTCGTCGCGTCGATGAGTGAGCATTACATTTATTTCTCTATTATCATATTTTTCAACTATTCATTTCTAAACGATTAATAAT